AGAGCTAGAATGTGTGACCACATCTTGCAAAGAGAAGTCATTAGGGGAAGTCCTTCCATGTAAAGGTTGATTGAAGGTTCAACTGAATGATTGCTATGTGGTGAGAGTTGTTGATTTATGTTCCCCTCAGACACCTCCACATGGCACTGAACTCAGGCTGTGGTGTTTCAAGTAGCTGCAAGCTATTTAACCAATGCCCTACATGAAGCTACCAAATCATTTGGAGGGGTAGGGAAGCTAGAGATGCATCAGCTATCACGTCACAAGTATTCTTAATGGCATCCTAATGGTTCTACCTTTTCTCTACTGGACAGGGAAACGTTGAGCATCATCTAAAATATGTAACATATGTCTGTCCATAGACTTCACTTCACCTGGCAGTTGAGAGCAGGGAAAGGGTATACCGTGGTAATATGGCTCAACCTAATTATCCCCTTTCAATGAAATACTTGGACAGATAGCTTGAGATGATTAACCTGTAGCGTTCTGAACGAAAAGTAAACTACCAAAGGCAAGAGCACTGCAAATTTTCCATGCCCTTAGTAACTCACAGATGCTGGGGAACTCAACTGATCCTCCTTTTAAATCATTTTACTTTTGCTGAATATTTATCTACAAAGGTAGACAATATGTAAAGTTCATGTATTTCCAAACTAAAAATAAATGGTTGTTGGATCAGTTAAGTTATTCTATGCAAATTAATATCTTTGATACTGAATGCTCCTATCTAAGGATATTTTGAGTGTACATATATGAGGGGCTTCAAAAGTTTCTGGATAAGTAGAATTAAATGATCATGGAATTTCCCACAAAATTTTTGAAGCTGCTCATATATGGGCATGCATGGGTGGGGGGGCATGTGTGCCTATATGTGCACTATGTGTGCATGGCTGCATATGTATCTTTTCATTTTCAAAACTATTTTTCTGGCCATGTGTTTACGAACCCACTACACCACTAAGGCTGCCCTCAAGGTTTCCTCGGCTGTGATCTTTATCGAAGCAGTTCTCTAGGTCTTTTCTCCCAGGTGAAGTGGCTGCTGGGTTCGAGCCACTTTGGTTAGCAGTCAAGTGTTTAATCACTGTGCCACCAGTGCTACCGACTAGCTGCCGCTGATTGCTGTTTCTTTTCTATTTCAACCACTGCAGGATGTATACATACAGGGGAGTTGTAACAGAATTTTCAACGGGTTTGCAATTCAACTACATGTATTGTCACTTTTATTTTGTTTCTTAAAAATGAAAAACTGGAGACACACAGATTGAGTTTGCTTACCCCAAACTCTCTAAAGCAGCATGTTAAAATCAAATTACACAGCTTGTGCTTAAAACATAAGGGCCAGATCCTATCTTCAAATGCACCACCCACTCTCTAACAGCAGAATTTGGCCCTAAAAACCCATTAACAAATATTGTCATTAAACTAAGGAGCTAATTACTTTGGATTCAGACAGAATGAACAAAAATCATAGGCTAACCACAGCTGGTAGTAATAGTAGTGAGGCTAACCGTATGCTACACTGGGGATTTAAGGAATAAAGACATATTAACACTAATGTAACCAGACATATAACACTATCCTCTAAATAGAACCATTATAGTTAGAAAATTCTGGAGAGCATATTAGAATTAACTGATACAAGACCTAAAGAATCTTTCCCAGGAATTACTTGTCAGAATTTGAAATTAACTTTGTTCAATGAAGAGGAAACTTTGGGTATTGTGTTCTACTATTATATTCCACAAATGAAGAATTATTAAAAAATAATTTCAATTCAATTGGAATTATGATTTTCATACAAATCAGAACAGTGCTGCAAGGGCTGTCCTGCAAGCCTGCTTTCAGCAACTATTAACAGGACTCCTTTGTAGTTTGACAACAGTGAACATTTCAGATAACTACATATTGTCCTAAGCTTACATTAGCAACACATATTTTAGAAAGTTTTTAAAAAAAAACTTTGAGAAGCAATAAAAATCAGCCATAAACCATCGGCTGTGATAAGTTCTGGTGTTAACTTTAAGTACATTTTCTTCAACTTCCTTTCTAGTTTTTTTAAATAAAAATGAGACTATATCATAATATGCTTTTGTAACTTGTTTTCATTTTTAGTGCATTGTATTTGCATGTCAATGATTTTACTCATTCATTTTAATGCCTAATTTCTTGTGTGTGTGTGTGTGTGTGTGTGTGTGTGTGCGTGTGCGTTATTGTCTGAAGTGAACTTGTTTGTCCCAAGCCTCCAAGTTCATTTCAGTTTCACTCCCCCCTTTGTCTTCAAGCCACTCAGACCACTGCTTAGGTTTGAGAGCTCAGGAATCTGGAGGGAATACCTAATTTCTTAAATTGGAATTTATAAACATATCTTAATACTTTGGGACAACTCACAAATAACATCATACTTTTTAATAATAATAACAACAGTAAGGCCTCCAACAGTTTCTTGCATCTTAACTTCCCCTTTTCTTATACTGAATGGTCCCCGAGAGCATTGTTCTTCTAATGCTAGGTTTTCTTTTAGCTCTTTGTCCCCTTAATATCAGATTTCTAAGAAACGGACCAAATCCGAAATAAATCTAAACCGTTCTCCTCTCTAGATTAACTGCATGAAAGATTATCCACTGATACCTAAGTGTTCAATAATTTAAAATTCAATTTCATTTGAATTTACAAATCTCAAGCATATTTATGTTTCAAACTTCATTTTGAAAAAAGGGAAAAAAAACCTCCTATTTCCTTACCCAAGATATCATTATTTTAAGATTTTGCTAAATTTCTTCTAGTTAATGCATCATACCCGACCAGACTGTTCCTCCCTGCTCTTGGTGTGGGGTAGACATTTGTATGGCAGGTTTGAAACAAAAGAAGAGAATATGCAATGGGGCCAGATGCCAAGATTTTCAATGATCCATTTCTGGTTTAAAACTTTATGCTTCTTTGAATCTATAAAGTTTCTGTAATTTATTCTTTTGTTGTATATTTTACTTTCTGAGTGTAGCCGCTGACTAGCTCAAGTTCCTTAAAACTACTTTGTAAGTTTTCTTTAGGGAACCACAATTGAAAGACACAGTCTAATAAATGTTCCAGTGATTTTGAATCTGATTCATTTGAGGACACAAGTCCATTATCTTTCTACCTCTTCCTCTTTTAGCAAAAACAACATGAGAAAAAGAAGAGAAAAAGAACAAAGAGGGGAAGATCTATTTCTATGTCTTTCCAACATTGAAATATTACAGATGGTTTGCATTGTATGATTTATTAACCTTATTTGGAGACTTTTCTAACCATAAACTTGTGATGACAAGTTTTAGGATTTTATAATCCAGTGTGACATTTTTACTATTAAAGAACAATTCACATAACAGGTGCATGTGAAAATTATTATAACTAATCCAGTTCTATATATCTGTAATTTTAACTACCTGGAAAAATCCTGCTGTATTTTACACATATTATCTAATTATCTAAACAGCTAATATATGTAGTTAACTGGTGCTATAGGGATATACTTCTTTAAGATTATGGGTTTAATGTTTCCTATTGGTATGTTATGCACAAGAAATTGTACACAATATGCCTAAGTATATTCAAACAAAAGATATCAAAGATAAGCACTACCTATGAAAATAATACTGCATTGACCCTTAAAGGAACCATTTAATTTAAGGTCTGAATAAGTCTTGGAATTGGCTCAATGCCAGTAGGGTTAATCACCTTTGATACTGTAATGAAAAAAGGGTGTGTAAATTTATAATTGCAAACAATAAAAATGAAGTTGCTAAGTGATAGATGTTAAGTTCAATTCAACTCACAGCAACTCCATGTTGACAGAGAAGATCTTGAACTTCCACCTAGGGTTTTCCTGGCTAGACCCTTCACAAAAGCAGGCCACCAGGTCTTTCTCCAGAGTAATTACCAAACTCTAAGGTTTATTAGCATTGGAATGCTTAAGTGTTTGTGCCACCAGAGCCCCTTCAAATGACATAAAGGAAATTGAAATACCGGAAAGCGATATCCGCTAAATGTACATGCCCCTTGCCATAAATATTTCACATAATTTAGGAGTCCTTATCTTCAATGATAAAGAGCAACTACAGATGTAATAAGCAGATCAGTCCTATTGAAAACTAAGGCTGCGATTTCAACACAAAAAGATAATAACCTCAACAATGTCGAAATGCATAGCCAACCCCAGTGATAACCAGTCATTTTCAGCTTCACCTTATTTTAGAATGAGATCCAATAACCCTAAGTGTCTGAATAAATTAGAACATTATACGGAACAGAATAACCACTGAAGAGACTGACGATGGGCTTATTATCCCTAGAGGAATATAGACACACCTAGAAATTACTTTATCACATTGATGAAATATTAAACAAATATTTAATAATAGCGTATAGACAGAATTAAAAAGAATTATTAAAGAGAATGAATAATGCAATCTAAGAAGATAAAATAAGGAGATAAAATATTTTAGTTCTTCTGGTCTAAAATCATCCTTTCTCTTTTATTCTTATAACTGTAGAACACACACGACATCAAACTCTAAGCTTACTACAAAGCTAGAAAGGTATCATTTTGAAAGCCAATTTCAATGTCTTTCAAAGATACACGTTTCACCAGTCTCCGGATCACTTGGGAAAGGTATCTGTAAAAATACAGGTTCTTGGGCCATCCTCCAGCCCTACTATGTCAATGTTTCTGAGAAACAAACTCAGAAATCAGCCTTTAAAAGAATCACCAGATGACTCATGCATATTAAAAACTGAAGATGAACTGAAATTTTGGTATTAAATTACCCCCTCATCTTTACTTGTATTCACATGGCATAGATTAACTTTTAAACATTTTATTTTGCTTATTACTCTATATAATATAAACTGCTCATATGTGGCTCTTCTCTTTACATTTAATAAATGCTCTTAGTCTTGTTAATTCACTTTTGATGCATTTACGAGTTACACAAAGACAAGGGTTCTTGAGAAAAGTCACTTACTTCAAATCCTCAGCTCATTCAGAAAGTGCTAAGCATATTTGATGGAAACTTCTAAGAAGAAAATTTGTAATGGTTTTTTTCCCTTCCTCAATTTCCCAGGGTACCAAGGCTTGCCAAGGAGACTTGTACGGTGGACACCAGAAATGCACGGAGAATGGCAGACATCAATGCTGAAGCTGCTGGCTTCTGATGATCTCTAAACAGAATAGAAAAAAAACAAACAAGTGGTTGTTCACCTGAAATTCATAAGACTGTTTCGCAGAAGGTTATTTCAGTAAACGAGCGTGTTACTAAATTTACACTTGGCCCAGGTTTGTTGGTCCCTGATTTAGCACAGTTGTCATTTAAAATTGCATGTCATTGTGAAGTCAGAATTGCATGATGATGCTGCCTGCAGAGGGTTCTGGTTGAATTCAGAAGGCTTTAATTGACTATTTTTTCTAAACATTGCATCAAGTGGTATAATTACTAATTTTATTTTTTGAGATGCAGGTGCTCCATTTTGGTGCTGAATTTCTTTCTTCGTCAAGGTTGATGAGGTCTCTTGGAAATATATCTTTACATGAAACTCTATCACATGCTAAAAAAAGATAAAATGTGATACTTTTACTAAGTCCCCATGGAATCAAGTGGTAATTTTGCTATATTTTCTTTCACATGGGTAAGGCTCGCCAAGACAATTAAATGTAAACAAGAATAATATCTCTTCTAGCCAGTATGTGCAGCCAACTCAGGGAAAGCAAAAATCTTAGCATCTAAGCACAAGTTGTAATGGCTAATGGAAAAAGAATGGCACACCCTCTTTAAAAAGTTGATAATTAACCTGATACGTACTCTCGTAACGTGTAGGTGAAGCCAAGTATAATGGTAAATAGAAAGCCAACTCTACAAGGGAAGACTGTAGTGCAGGTGAGGGTGCACAGCACACTAGCAATCGGTTCTCACGGTGCTTTGGCGGTTGGCTACTCAAAAATTCTCCCCAATGGTTTTCCTTCCTTGCTATGTCTTATTAATACAGGGTGGTGTGTGTGTGTGTGTGTGTGTGTGTGTGTGTGTGTGTGTGTTTCACCTTCCCATACAGTCTCTTATGAACCATATTGTCCCAACAGTGTTAAGAAAATCTCCTAACTAAAAACATCCAAGTGAAATTGCTGTACTGATAAAAAACAAAACAACAACAAAACGTCTTGTTGCTTTTCTTTCTTCCAACTATGAGTGTCTTGAAAAAGCTGTTAGAGCAGCCATCTTGTCAGTATGTTAAAATACATGAAGTCCAAAGACAGACAAAGAAACAAACCCTAATTTATAAGGAGTTGAACAATACCACTTACTGCTTCTTCAGAAATTCTATTTGAAAAAATGATTTTGAATTGGGTTTTCTTTTGCTTGCTAACAAAGTATTAGTTGGTAATAAAGTACTCAAAAAAACTTTTTTATAAATTTCTGCTGTAATGAGTGTAATAATATCTAGCTTTTCACTATTTTGAGTGTAATTTGCAATTGAAGGGAAGTTCCATGGGGTCAAAGACAGCCTCCATCCTTTCAGCTCCGAGGGAGGGTGGGTGGGCACTAGATAGTTAAACTCATCAGCACTCCATGGAATGGAAAGCCTAGCTCTGGGCTAGGTTTGGAAGAAGTTCATCTGGTATTATTTCACGTAAAAAGTGGTATCTCATTTTTATCTAAGTCTTAAAACCATGCCTCAAAATTCATTTTAAGCCCTCCAAGTGCTGTGGAGTCTCTCTTTAAACTGGTCTCGACATTCACCGTTTCTTAGTTTTCTTCTCCCCCGTGTTTCCCTGTGCTACCAGACTTTCCCAAAGTATTGCCATAAACTTCATTATCTAACAGATCTATCATTTCTTCTCTCTTAATCATTTCTTCTTGCATTATGTCAGCTGCTTTATGAATAAAATTCTGAAAAAAAACGCTTTCATAGGATCCTTCTTTAGTTCAAAACACAAGCATTCCCTTTAAACTAATGGATTAAGTCCAAAGTCCTTAACCTGATGTTTAAATCCCTCCCTAACATGGACTTTTCTAGATTTCCTATGGTGACCCAAGGGACTAGGTACTGGCTACTAACAGAAAGGCCAGCAGTTTGGACCCACCAATTGCTCCCGAGGTGAAGGAGGCTACACAGCCCGCTTCAGTAAAGATTTATAGCCTCAAACACCCTTTGGTAGTTCTACACTGTGCGGCAGGGCAGCTGTGAAGTCAGAATTGACTTGAGGGAAGTGAATTTTCTTTTTGGTAAATAAATTCTCAGAGCATCTACTGTGACATTTTTTAAAAAGCACACAATATCATGGTCAATCTCTCATTTAAAAACCACCACCAGCTCCTCAAAGTTTCTAGGATAAAACTAAAACCTTCCCATCGCGTCTCATTACCCAGTGCTGGTCTAACTCTCCATGCAGCCTCACCTAGCTATCTTTCTTTCTTTCTCTCTCTCTCTACTTTCAAGCCTCATTTTTCTAGAGGGAAGTGCCCGTTTCTGTGAGACTATTCAGGTGTTCACACCCGGCATTCTACAGAGTACACGGTACAGAGTAGACGCTCAAGAGCTCTTCTGAATGAATAATGGATGAACTATTCTTGAACTGCGCATGAACTGCCTTGTATCATTAACTTTTACCGTATATACTCGTGTCTACGCGGAGTTTTCTCGGGCTCATTTTTAAAAGGTCAAAGTTCAATTTCTCGCTATGGGTAGATCATCACTTTTCTATAAGGTCAAAATGAATAAAGAAAAATGAGCACCTGTGACTCCTCAAGAGAAAGGAAAGGAAGCGCAGTGAGAACACTTCGTCCTGACGGTACAATGGTACATCTGTGGGAGTAACTGCCAGGAGGCTGCTCCTCGGCATCACGTGGGAAGCCTTCAGCGGAGTCCCAAGGCATGTGGCCAATAGTTGACATTTCTCTTTAGAAATATGTTCTCTTTATACATATTAGCAAGTGTTTAATACATTTCATAATGAATAGCCGAAGCCTTTCTGAAGTAGACACTGGTTAGTATTATTACTATTATTGTTATTATTTTTAGACATTGATTATTAGGGAAAATCATTACCCCCAAGTTCTGATTAATTCCTACTAACTGGATATTTACCTGAAAATCATAAAAGGAACTTTAGATGGAAAGGAAGGTATAAACTATTAAGCCACATTATATACTGACAAAGGTGTTATAGTAAGTTATGCCCTGGGTTGCTAACTACAAGGTCAGCGGTTTGAACCCACCAGCTGCTCCATGGGGAACAGATGAGGCTGTCTGCTCCTGTAAAGATTCACAGTCTCTGGAACCTAATGGGGCAGGTGTGCTCTGCCTGACAGGGTCGCTCTGCACAGAGAATCAAGGGCAGTGGGTTATATGCTGGCATCACCCAGGATAATATCACCACTTCCTAGGAGCCTAACAGCACTTAAATCTTGGGGCTGTGAGTGCATTCTGCTTTACCAGGGCTTCTGAATGGACTACGTTTTCCCAGGTGGAGCACTGCAGATAGAATTAGGATAGAAAGAGGGAACCGATTACAAGGAACTTTATGTGACCTCCTCCCTGGGGGACCCACAACAGAAAAGTGGGTGAAGGGAGACATCGGACAGGGCAAGATAGGACAAAATACCAATTTATAAACTATCAATGGCTCACGAGGGAGGGGGGAGCGGGGAGAGAGGGGAAAAATGAAGACCTAATGTCGGGAGTTTAAGTGGAGAGAAAATGTTTTGAGAATGACAAGGACAATGAATGTACAAATGCGCTTTACACAATTGATGTGTGTATGGATGGTGATAAGAGTTGTATGAGCCCCTAATAAAATGATTTAAAAAAAAAAGAATTAGGATAGAAAGACCACGAAGTGCAAGGGTAGATAATGAAAATTGTGTTTGAATGCATTTCTTGAGTAGGTTTACCCTTGTGTTTCTTCAAAATGAGTTGAAATTTACTTAAGGCATATTTATGCAGGAAGCAATTACCTTTCCGTTGCGATAGCCTATTTGCTCAATTTTAGATATCACCCAGTTTTCTCATTGTAGGGAATCTGTTGACTTTTTAAAACTAAAACACAAAAGACAATTAAAAAATAAACAGAAAGAAAAAGGGACCCTCCAGCATGAAATGCAATTTGAGAATGACTACCAACAGTTGGCTTTAAAAAAACAAAATTGGCTGTTTTGTATGTCCCCCTGGGACACAGATAGATGTGATTCATGATTCAATACTCAATTGCTTTTCAATAAGAACTTCTACCAGGGTGTTAAGTCATGATTTCATTTTTCCTGTAACTTAAATTCCAAGGAATTGACTGAAGGTGTGCTGTTTATTTTGCTCTTCTTTACATAAATAAATAAAAACTGAGCTTAGCAGAATAATGTAAGGACAGATTGTTAGGCTCGACCGCTTTCTTTTTTTATTATTAATCATTTTATTAGGGGCTCATACAACTCTGATCACCATCCATACACACATCAACTGTGTAAAGCGCATTTGTACATTCATTACCCTCATCTTCTCAAAACATTTCCTCTCCACTTAAACCCCCGACATTAGGTCCTCATTTTCCCCTCCTTCCCCACTCCCCCTCCCTCATGAGCCCTTGATAGTTTATAAATTGTTATTTTGTCATATCTTGCCCTGTCCAACGTCTCCCTTCACCCACTTTTCTGTTGTCTGTCCCCCAGGGAGGAGGTCACATGAAGTTCCTTGTAATCGGTTCCCTCTTTCCAACCCGCTCTCCCTCTACCCTCCCAGTATCACCACTCACACCACTGGTCCTGTAGGGATCATCCGCCCTGGATTCCCTGGATTTCCAGTTCCTATCTGTACCAGTGTACATTCTCTGGTCTAGCCAGACTTGCAAGGTAGAATTCGTGTCATGATAGTGGGAGCGGGGAAGAAACAGGAATGAGAGGAAAGTTGTATTTCTCATCATTGTTACATCACACCCTGACTGGCTCGTCTCCTCCCCGAGAGCCCTCTGCAAGGGGATCTCCAGTTCGGCTGCTTTCTTATGGGAGACTTACCCCATATAAAAGGAAAAAATAATTTAAAAAAACCCCTAAATTTTCACATGTATGACATTTTTCGTACACTAATCTCTGAATGCAATGACAAAATAACGTTTTCTCTCTTGTGTGAAAGTAGGTATGTTGCAGAAGCATAGTGCAAACCTGTGCTGTCT